TCCTCCTCCTCCTCCTCCTCCCCCCTACTCCATCACCTTCTCCTATCCTCCTCATCCTCCTCCTCCTCCTCCTGCCCCCTACTCTTCCTCCATGACCGTCTTCATTCGATCTCCATCTCAGGGGCAGGTACATTTATGTAAACCCAGGGTACATAATATCAAGTTCCCTGCGATAGAGGGACGATAGAGATACGATAGAGATACGAAGAGTAACTATATCGCGCAAAATCTAATATATATTTTGTGAATGTATGTCGGTTTGTCTGTTCTCAATGCGAATCAATATGGAGCACTCTAGAAATGTCCAAGGAAGTTCAGTAGGAGTAACTGTTGATGCTGAATGTCATGGGCACATTGGATTTTACTTCCGAGTTCATCTGAGGTCGCAGGAGGAAAAAAAACACGAAAAAACGTTATATGAACCGCCCCTCCAGCAGCATTAAATAAACGGGGCCCCTGCAGCAACATTGTCCAAACAGGATTCAGCTTGCACTGACTTGGTACAGTAGTCGATAGATAGATAGATAATAGATAATAGATAATAGGTAATAGATAGCTAGATAGATAGATAGATAGATAGATAGATAGATAGATAGATAGATAGATAGATAGATAGATAGATAGATAGATAGATAGATAGATAGATAGATAGATAGATGGATTTTTGGGGTATTTTTCTTTCAACCAAGCGGTCACCAACTGAGATAACCTTATTTCCCGGGCAACGCCGGGTATCATGCTAGTATATAATAAAACAGTACGCAATATCGAGCAAGGAATAGCCGGGCCATCACTATATATGGCGCTTATATTATAACCGCCATTTGCTGCGATACCTGTATGATGTTTGCGTCGTTGTCATGGTGACTGACGCCGCGATTCTGCAACGCGCTTATTCCTCTTTGACAGAAAGAGGAAGGGATAAATATAGCCGCCAATGATGATGGTAATGATACTGATGCTGTTGGTTGCATCACGGGCTCCGGGGATGCTGCTACGCACTACGCGGATGAGGTCAGCAAGACTACACGAGCTGATCAATGTTGGCAGAAACGACTTAATTACAGCGCCAGCAATTTCCCCCAACCCCTCGTTACTCATGCATGCATCGATTCAAGCATTAAATATTATATAGCTAGTGTCTCTCTGTAGTTTAAAGAAAGGTATTATACGTTACCATCCTTGTAAAAATTGTAAGGATGGTAACATAGTTAATAATAGAGTAATAATATATGACAACATTAACATTAACATAGTTAATAATAGAGTAATAATATATGACAACATTAACATTAACATAGTTAATAATAGAGTAATAATATATGACAACATTAACATTAACATAGTTAATAATAGAGTAATAATATATGACAATGTTGCTGTTGGGAGAAAAGTCTTCTTTCGAGCTGCAAAGAAGTAGGTATTGTGTTGCGTGTATCATTTTGCTTGTCTGCGTTTTTACCCGTTGGAAGTGCTTGCTGGTGCGGTTTGAAAGATAAAGTCTTGTCTTCCACCGAACAGAACATGAGCTATTTTCGAACACAACGCAGTGCACTTCGTTCACAGGGAGAGCGCTAGCTAGGGGCGAGAGAAAAAGAAAGAGCAGACGTTGGCAATGTTCCACTGCATCTATGAATAAGTGTAACCTCATTCCCACAAGACTGCAGATAACATGATAGCCGCGTGCTTGCTTTACCTAACGGGATGCCAGCCAACCCCCCCCATTCCCATCCCAGCCCAGCCATTCCCAGCGACAACGCGCTAATGAATTGTTACTACCGGAAAGTCAGTACTTCGGTGAACAGAGGATCGCACAAGACTTAGAGTATTGGTCTTGTGTGACCAGGAAATTGCCGAAGGGCTGCATGACTAAAGCGAGAGGGAGAAGAGAGGTGTGTGTTGGAGGGTGTGCGCCGATTATTCTGTCTTGTTGTGTATTTAAACAAACGTCGCGTGACGTGGCTAGACCATGACAGATCGACAGGTGACGTGGTCGAGGAAACCTTCCGTAATTCGATCGTTCAAGTGCGTATGACAATCGCTCGATACTAGTTCTGACAAATATCGTATAGTAACTTTGATGTAATGCACGCGCTACTTCACGTTGAGAAACCACTGCATGTATATACTGCTTCCGTTGATCATACTTACAGTACGGACTCACTGTCGTACGGTAATTAGTCTTGCCTAGACAGCAGTTGGGGCGATCCAGCAATCCATGCTATCGAGAGCACGATATATAAACCATTATGTTATATTATAAAGAGTTTATGTGCTCTTGATGTTATACCTAAAATTCAGAGACCGAATGAAACACGAGCATCATATGCGCTAAGTCGTAAAAAACACCGCGGCACGGACGGCGGCTAAACATAGAGCTGCTATAAGGAGCGCGTCGTAAAAAGAGGGATGAGGAGCGGAGGGATGGATGGGAGTGGTGACATCGAGATAGATAGAGCGAGACAAGAAAGGAAAGGCAAGATAGATTGGCGAAACGATGCGAACACGCCAATAAAACACGCAGAGACGCAGATATACATAATATATACATATATAGAGAGATGGGGTGGTTATCGGAAATTTCCCAACCGCATGCAGGTTATTCATTAGATAAAGGAGACAACGCAAGTAAGGCTGCATGAGCCCTAGGGGGTGGATAGCTCACGGCAATCCAGGCACGCGACGCTGACACGGCAGCAGCAACAGCAATAGCAGCAGCAGAGCTACGCACAAAGAGCCTGCCAACCAGTCAATCGATATCTTCCCATGTTGCTACGCCGGTCAACAACCTAGCTTCAATGGCTTGGGTAGGTTGCTATGGATGCCCACCATTATGCAAATGGTTACTATGGAAACGACATAAATTCGCGCGAAACCTGCGGTGGCGAGGTCGAGGCGGAAAGATAGCTCGTCGCTTTACTGCGCCTTACTGCGCCGTACTTGCTTTGTCGCCTTACTGTTAACGCAAGCTGCTTTTCAGTCTCCGTTTCTGTTCACGTATACATATATCCGCGCTTTATGCATACTGTTTAATGCTATCTTGTGATTGCATCCGTCACGCGTTTTAGATTTCACGTGCAAGCTGGTGAGAGTTTTAAGTTTTCGGTGTTGGAATTCAATCTCTCTCAGGTCACGTGCTTTTGCCATCGCTCGTAACTTGCGTATAGTAGCGATAGCAGAGAGGATTAGAACAGCAGGCGTGTAATGTGTGATTAATTGATGTATCGGCATTGAATCCAACCATGAGGGAGTAAATTTTAATACGGCTTAGATTGTTGGCCGTACACTCAAGGGCACGCTACGACACATTTCGTATAGAATATATGCTGTAATTTACTTGCTTTGCGCATTTTGTTGTTACCACGACCACGTACTATTCATACTAGGCAAAAAATATATAAATGATAAGTAAAGCCAATGCAAGGCAACATGAGAGAATTGGAGAGGGAGCCAGAGGAGATGGGAAACCGTTTATGGAGATTCTATAAGCCACTTAGAAAGCAAAGGTTTAAAATGGATGAAAACGTGTTACTTTGGTACTCCCGCAAACACATTGTCTTCATAGCAAACAGCAAACAAAACAGTGTTTTTATTAATCAAAATACCATCGTTTTTATTTATCACTATTTACACAGGTAGGGGGTTTTAATCCCTTGTATTATGTACATGATTCAGTCATCATTCTAATCTCTTTTTGACTGTCTTTGACACTTTGCCACCAGGACCCCTGCCAAACCCTCTACAAGCACGTGTAATTTCTCTGTAGATACTTTTTTGGAAGTCAAAAGTTATTCACTTTTTCCAAGATTATAATAAAATCTTGTCTGACCAATGCTCCCCGCATTTCATTTCAAGACTACTCTGTACAGATTCATCCAAAAGCTCTTCATCTTTAAATAACTCGCAAACAAATCACAACACGGAAACGAGAAACCCAGAGTAGCAATCCACTCTGGAAATTACAATACACAAACACAAAAATCACTTGCTGTACAAGCTTCAAAATACGTCCAGAGACAAAAGAAATATGTCCTCAAGACTCATGGGACATTCCTTATCTGTACCAACAAAACTACGCTCGAAAACATCGTTTACTGCAATATAATTTTCAACTTCATGACTGAAACCGAAGAGAAAAAATAAGAGCAATTCACAATACAATAAGTATGCGTAGCCGGCAAACAACGGTTGGCTTTCGCGAAGAACAGTTTACATATTACAGCGCTCAAATGCCAGACCGGCTAAAAGTACAGTTTTGTGAGAACAAAATAACCGATTATTCAATTATTCAGAACTACTGATTCCAGATATCCACACACCAACGTACTGTACACTGCTAGACTGCGTACTGGATTGGCGTCTGCTGATACAGCGTATACAAAGGCTTGCAGCCTAGCGTCTTTGAGGCTGGCTTGGGTCATGGACGGGCCGAACTGGTTCTGCCGTCTTTGTTTACAAATCCGGTCACGTGACAGTCGGCCCGCGAGTGCCAGCGCGGCAGCGGCTGCTACAACCGTTGTAGCGTGTCAACTTCTAACGAAGTTAGAGTGTCTAGTCTAGAAACGGAGGGGGGTAACTCTCGTTCACACTGTCATCACGATGACTGGTGGGGAGACCGACTCGAAGCTGTCCAGTAGAGGTCGCCCTTGAGTGGCCGACCAGCAGCTTCCCCTTTGCTCGTTGACGCTAGAGCAAGAAGAACTACTCGAAGTCGAAATGTCCGATACCGTGAGCAGACTGGTGAAACCAGAGTTGAGATAGTTCACTAACGTTGAGATCTGCTCCGTCTGTGGACTCTCCGCGTGGCTACAGTCCGCGTCGAAGCAATCGGAGCATTTCTGCCGCTTCGGCTGGATACTCTCGACCGCCGCTTCTACCTCGGACAGCTTGCGTTTGGTCGGTGACGTCAGCACTGTGTATGATTTTTTGTGCGATTCGCTTGGGTCGCTATCACAGTCAAATGTGTCTACTTTTTCTGCGGGTTTGGTGACGATGTAATGTTGATCCGGTACGACGTTGTGGCAGCTCGGATGCACGTTCTCCTTGTTCTCGGTTTCGTGGTAGGGCGAATGCGCGGCGGGCGAGCACGTGGTGGTAGTGTAATCCGATGCTGTGGGGCTGGTACAGTGCGCGTTAACTGCACTGTTGGTGCTAACCGCCGATGACTCGCATTCCGACATGTCTGTATCCGAATCGTACCCACTGCCACTGGTGTCTCGGTAATCCATCACCGGAGGTTCGTACATTGTGTGTCGGCTGTTGTACCATGCCAGACTCTCCTCGTAAAAGGCCGTCCGAGCCCGGTTCAGTACACAAGAAACCATCAGGTTCTTGTGAAGATTGATTCCGCTTCGGTTGCTGCGAGACGCCGCTATCTTACCGAGGGAAACTGAGATCAAACGCTGGCACTCGGTCATCTTGGTTGTTTACAAGTTGTGTTGGATACGCACGCCAACTATCGTATGCCAAACCTATCGCCTATCAAATCACGACGGTGGCGTGATACCAACTACAACCAGTGAACCAACGTCTTCGTTGTTTGAAGGAAAATAGCGTTGGTGACGTCACTGCTGGTCGATTGACCAATAGCAAGCAGGCGAATTTCCGGCGCGTGACGATCAGAACGCCTACTCTTGGCCTCGACCCAATCAGCATTCGAGATGATGACATCATGACCAGGTTCTGGCGCCAAGCCAAACATGACTCATGGTTGGTGCAACCATGGCGTAGGCGCGCCTGCTCTAGGGTACAAGTTGGCGCGTAGACTTGACTCCGCACGAGACGCTACGCATCCCTGTATCATTGTACAAATAGTGGGGTGCCCGATTGATACGTACTACTACTGTATGAAAGTAATAACTATTAGTTACTCGTATTAACTTTAAGCACACATGTGATACTGATTCGCTGTTTAACCCGCCTAGCCAGTAATTAAGAGCGCGCGTTGGTTTGTTCGGTTGCGAAATACGTCAATGGCATGACTAACAACGCACACGTCAATGGCAATATCGATGTAGTACGCGACGCTCCAAACGCTTTACAAACGCAAGTGTCGCGTCAAAAGAGGCTATAAATAGGCTGCAGCACTGTGGCTGCAGTAGTAGCACGCGGTCACCTTCGTCTGGTATTGCTAAATGCTTGTCCGGATTCCGGCCCCCTCCAACGCGTGAAATATGGTCACCACTAAAACAATAATTATTACGTACGTTATCACATATCGGCTACAGTTACAGCCGTCAAGCCACTTGTTAGACTGGTACTCGCTCCCACCTCTCGACTCGATTACTTACTCGGCTCTTAGTTACTCGATGGGTAATCGAGTAAATTAATCGAGTAATCGAGGTGGGAGCGAGTACCAGTCTAGCCACTTGTTCTTCGAGAGGGCAATGTGAGGGCAACAGTGGGAATTTTAGGAAGGTGGGGATTTCGGGGGGGGGGGTAAATTGTTCTGAGCATTTAATTAAAGTGGGAATTATTTGTGAAATGCTTCATATAGATTTCGGATGTAAGGGTCTGAGTAAATTGTTCAATTGAATTCCGGTAAAAAATCATATGTATTATAATTGTTATATGAATTCAGTTTAATTTGTGTCATTTTTATATAAAAGATTCAATGATTCTAACAAACAAAATAATAACTAATCGCAGAGCTTATCCTGCATAGTTAACAAAAATGTTTAGCAATTATTCTTCCTATTATTGATCAACAGTGACCTACGTAATTAACATGCATCCCCAACCCCTCCCAGATTGCTTAGATACATTGTGTTAGGCACGTAACAGATATCTCTCAGTTGACCACTCAAGTCGAAATAATCAAATTCGTACAACACTTTACATTTTATAACCATGAAAAGCTATGACGTGCATTAAAACCATATTGTTTTATTTTGTCGCCGTTTTTAATGTGATTAAAATACTACATGGAACTGATTTGAAGTACATTTCAAACCAGAATATTTAATTCAAAGGTAGCTAAAACCTCAAAAACAGCTTTAATGATTCCTCGAGAAGCATGTAAATTAAAAGAGTCAATTGAACTCATATATCCCTGTAGAGGAACAATAACATCGAGGCCGACTTGTGAATGCCAACTGCTGCATATTTTCATAATTTTGTTCATACTGTAAGTGTAATATATGGAAATATACAGATTTCAGATATGACCTCTTAGCGCCACCTGTTACGCGGAAGATACAACATCGAAACGAACACTTTTCAAGATGGCAGCGCCCATCAGAGCGATAACGTTTCGCTGTCCTCGAGTGTTTGGCTGCTACACTCAGGAGTGGGCAGTGTGTGCTTGGCATGGCATTGTCTCAGTTACTATGAAGAGGCATATTTCCGCGTTACCATCCTTATTTTTACCGGCGTGGTACAAGAACAGTGTTATACCCGGTCCAGAAATCGAGCATAGACACATGCTAACACTGAACCAGAGCGTGCAACCTGTATTGACTCAACTACGGTGCTTATCGCACAAGAACAAGGGCAAAAAGAAAGGGAAACATAAAAGCAATGTCGAAGAAGAACATTCCGATGAAGACAATGTCGAAATGGGATTGGTGGACGACGACAATGATAACGACCTTGATGGGCTTCCAAAGGACTTTAAGGACATGGTTGTTACCGTCAGTTCCCTGCGACTCGACGCAGTTTTAAAGACTGGGCTTGGCATATCACGCTCAGCCACCGAGGACGCCTTCTATGGCAGCAAACTGCGCATCAATAGACAGCGGGTGCTGAAAAAGAGCTGCCAGGTGGCACTGGGGGACGAGATTGACATTGTGCTTGGCCCACGGGTTGACAACGAGAACATGTTGGATGTGCAGCGCGTGCTGGTGAGAGGCATCAGCAATGAACGAACACGTTCAGATAGAATTATTCTAGCCTTGCGCCGGTGGAAGAAGTTCACAGTGGAGAACTACCTGCTACACGAAAAGAAATTTGGCTCAGCTAGGCAGAATGACGACGAGTAGTCTTCACTGTTATTTAATGAGCCCTGTACGTATGGCACCACCATATAGCGTAACGGCGTATGTTGTTACATTGTAAACTAAGCAGAGAGTGACTTGGAATTTCGCATAAACCTCTTCGTTTGCAGACAGAGATATGCATGCAAGATTAGGACACGTACGTGTGACTCGAGATGTGTTGAACACAGTTTGAAATGACATAGTTTGTTGTACCATTTAACAAAGCAATTTCAGTTTATTATCTTTTTTAATAAAATAGTATTTATTATGTGAATTCTTCTCTGGAGTGGATCAGCAACCAGTAAATGAGTTCTCAGTACTGCTCTCTGCTTAGGAACCTGATATTTACGCTGATATTTAGTTCTGAAGTTAAGTATGTTAGTGATAGCACAGACCATTGCTTTCACAGTGATTGTTATACATGTTGTAAATTATCACAATTTAATTTTGTAGCTCACAGAAACACACTTCCTACAGTATATTCCACCAATTTAAAAACAAGTGCCGCAGAGCGACAGCGCTCAATTGACGTTTACTGTAGCCGGGTATTCTTCTGATAGACTCACTGGCAACCGAATCAAGTGTGCCCTCCCGCCACCGCGTTAATAGTCTTTGCTATACCGGTAGTACAGTAATAAAGATATAGCTGTGTAACTTTAATGACTTTGCTATATTAACGTTATCATGGATATGCGTCGAGCGCGAGCGTAGTGGTGGTGGTGGTGGGGGGGGGGCTCTAATAGCAAAAGCAGTTCAGTCCTTTGTTAACAGTCAACAAATCCATGTTTAACCCTCCTCTTGAGGGTCAAAAGGTTATCAGACACTTACTCTTCGCACGTCAGCAGCGGAAAGTAGATTTCACGGTCCTTTCAATAGTGATAAAAATGGTAGGTCAGCGCTGAAACAAAAAAGTTTTGCACTCGGTCCGTTAGACCATGTCCTCAGAAAATGTCTGATATCTGACCTTGCTCCCACTGCCCTTTGACCTCTAATTTCGCGCTGGTGATGGGTTTCCTCCCCATCACACTATACATCGAATATTAAGAGCGTAGCCGTTGAGATTTGTGCCGCAATTTCGTATTTCCTCCTATACCTTAAGTTAAGGGGGAAATATTCCCCCTCCATTGACACATCTTGACCTTTGACTCTTGACCCCCAAATTCGACATCCAGTCCTTTTCGCGATTCCCCCCCCCCCTCCCCGACGTCCCGAATATCAAGATCGTACGTCGCGTGGTTAAGATTTGTGCCGTAACTGTTGATACACGGATGGCCGGACGGCCGGACATTCGTGCGATTTTACAAGCTGCATCTGACTTTGACAGCTGAGCTAAAAAGCTTAAAGGAACAGTAGCCTCTAGGTTCTAGGGTTATTTTCAGCTAATTTAGGTTATAATTGCGCTACATAAAAAGTTTCATGGTTCAATCACCATTAGAAATATTTTTAAAAAATGTTTTAAAACTAACGACTACAGTTTGATTACAACGACGGTGGCGCCACTCAAAGCGCACGATCTGAGAAGTTGCGCAAAACCACTTTCCAGCCAAGGGCTACAGACCGAGGGTATTTCTTATTTATTCATTTAAAAGCAAAAGGATTGTAATATCTTATAAACGACATATAGTTTCAGTTATAATATGGATAAATTTGCCCTAAAATGAATATCGTTCGGTTAAATAGCATTTAGGTATAAATATAATTGCACTTTTGTGATTAGCCCTCGGTCATTTACCTGCAAAATAAAAATGCAAATACGCAACTTTTTCAGGGTGGCAGCACGGTCGCGGGTGTCATGGCGCCGTTCAAATTTCGTAGCGTTGATGTGTAAATAATTAATTAAGTATCTGGTGACAAATACATGTGGGTATAGACGATTTGTTATACAGTAAGTACAGTTGTATGCAGTAAAATCCTAGAGGCTACTGTCCCTTTAAGTATCTGGTGACAAATACATGTGGGTATAGACGATTTGTTATACAGTAAGTACAGTTGTATGCAGTAAAATCCTAGAGGCTACTGTCCCTTTAAATTATTAGCACACATATTTGGAATAAATACATGATTTAGATGGAATATTTAATTGCCCACTAAGTGGACGTTGAGGGACTCGTGCGCCGGCCTATGCATTCGGCGCACGGATCCATAGCTGCCAGCGCTGCATACTGTCGTAGGACGTTCCCGCGGTCGCGTGCGCCTTGCCGCGGAACTGCGCGCAAGATCTGCGCTTATAGCGCTTGGGATCAACACCTCCTTTCGGCAACGCTTCTCTAGTATCCCGTCTCATCTGGTTAATTGTTTGTTTTTGGTATAGAATATGTTTAGCAGTAAAAGGAGCCTTGCTAATACGTGATTTTTACCAACATAAATATGGTAGGGAATAAAATATCCTGCTATACGTCATACAAGACATAAAATAGGAGGAACTCTAATCTAGAAGTTGCAAGTACAAGTAGAGTGCATTAAAAATAAAATAAATCATATATGCCTAAATGTTTTGCCTTTTAGACATTCACTTTTATTATGACAAGGGATTATTTACTGAAAATATAAAAATTACAAGCACAACCATCAAGGTGGCCATGTGCTGCCCCCTAGTAGAGTTGTGTTAACCAATACATTAGCCACCTGGAATAGATAGACAGCGTTTCTCGTGTAATTTATAGCAGCTGCCAAGAGGTTTTTAGTACTACAAAGGCCAACTGCAATCATAATTTACATATATCACAACTGCACCATGCTGCCCCCTGACGGCAAGAAAGACTAACGAGAGATGAGCAATACTGCTACGTAAACCTCCATCAAACTTTCACGTAAAGAAAGTATTTTGCACAGATAGGAACCCTTTCACTTGCCCATTAAACCATAAGCAGCTACATAGGAATCATGAATAAGGCCATCGCCTTGTACAAAAATACTTGGCGCAGGCAAAAATACATGTACTGCTGAACATGGAATTCATCTGCCCCGTATAACCACCAGTCGCCTCAAAGAATACTGGTCCGTGCAGTGCACCAAATGCGTGAGTTTAACTTGGAGATGCACAAATACGTACACACATATGCACGTTGCTCACAAACATGTACTGTGAAACATACACCCAGGAAGCACATTAGTGAATGCAAGACGGATGCACACGTACACGTACACGTAGCACGCAAGCATGTACCGTGGAACATACACACCCAGGAAGCACAGTAGTGAACACATGACAAACAGATTAAAAGACGCGTTCGAATTGCTCACAAACGCATAAAATGGAACGCAGAGAGAGAGAGAAAACCAACGAGAGAGAAAGAGAAAGAGAGAGAGAGAGAGAGAGAGAGAGAGAGAGAGAGAGAGAGAAAGCCAGCGAGAGAGAGAGAGAGAGAGAAAGCCAGCGAGAGAGAGAAAGAGAGAGAAAGCCAGCGAGAGAGAGAGGGAGAGAGAGCTTGGTCACGCGCTCCGGTGAACGAATAGCCGTGCGCTACAGTTCGTCGTGTTCGCTGATCACCTGCAGGTGAAGGTCCTTCTCCGGCGTGACGTACTCGTGCTTCGGGAACGCCCAGAACGCCGACGGCCGGCCTGCGACGTCGCGCTCGCGCTTCGGGAACGCGGAGAACGACGAGATGCAGTTGCCGATGTAGTAGGTGGACTTGGCGAGGACGGCGAGGTCGAGATGCGGCGAGTCGGCGTGACCGCGCACGACCTTCAGACCCTGATAACGAAACGAACACCTGTGTATTGTAGATGAAGGTAGTGTGGCATTATGCGCATGGGAGTTATCGTAGTTTCATAGTTTTGCTTGGATAATTTGATATTATCTGAGTAACAAAACTTCGTCAATGCATAAGAGTGGTGGTGACCATGGATGGTGATAAGAAGTTGCTGTAAAATGTACAGTTGCGTTGCAGACAATAGTAGGATGATCAGGAGTAAATAAAAATACTATACAGGGGTAGAAATTAACTTTTGAACACTGGAGTCCAACGGACTCCCCACATGCCCTACCCTTAAAAAGAGGGAGTCCGCAGCAAATAGAGGGAGTCCGCAGTCTGAGGTTCAAAATTAAAGATATTAACAATAACGCATATGCTTATTTTTAAGATTCATGCAATTGCACGTCTGCCAAATTTTCTTGGGACATTAGCTGAAAAAATACGGTAATTCTGCGAGGCCGTGCTCCGGAACGAACTAGTCAGTATCGCAGAATTTTCAGGGAGTCACACGGACTCTTGCATATGTCAAATCAGGGAGTCCGACAGTAAATCAGGGTGTATTTGACTCCGAACTCCCGTTAATTTCGCACCCTGCTATATATTCATATATGCACTCCTGGCATTACGGTGCTATTTGAATTGCATCAGTTTCACGGTTTTGTCTGTATAGTTTGACATTATCTGAGCCATAAAATGCATTTGAATTTGCATTTTTGTAATTTAAAGTTTGAATGATATTGCAGTCTCAGGATGAGTAACAGTTTTGGTGCAACCGGCTGACCAACGGGTCGTTGTCAAAAAAATTTCACCCGTAATAATCTTAGTCATAACTTTCTCCACGTGTTATAATCGTACACATGATTATCGTAGCACTATACAATATCTCTCACTATGGCCTCTTGGTCCATCGTCACAAGTTCATTCCTCGTAACATTATTCAGAGTACCAAAAAAAGGAAAACGTTACCAAATTAAACCTGTATATTTAACTCACTCGAGTTATACCCCACATATCGCTCACCTTTATGGCTCTCAACTCTTTCCTGAAATCGTGAACCATGGCGTCAACGTCAGTTGCGACAAAGAGATTTCCCGTTCTCATCTTCTTCAGTGCTTTCTTCACCTGTGTGAGTATGATGTGTCGTGGCGGCGCGCAAAGCTCAGCGTAGGAATCGCCGTTCTCGCGCCTGTAGCCGAGGCACTGCGGCGCGGCAAACAAGCTCGGACTCATGTTAATGTGCTCGCACGCGTTTTTCTGTGGAGGACGAATAAAGTCGAACCTTTGTTACCGGTCATCTCTATTAGAACGGACACTTCTAAGACTCCACCGTCTATAAAGGATACAGGTTCACAATCCCGCATCCGCAATTCCGAATGGTTTGCTGCAGAAATATTAATGTGTTTGCTTAGAGGATGCTGCCACACACCCTGCTAGTGTATCACCCTAATATACAGAAAATGTATCGTACTACCATTCCGAAATAAAAAATAAAAACTCCAAAATACCTGATTCAATATAAATGCATTTCGCCCGAGTGCTTTTTATAGACATATTTAACAGTATACAGAATAAATCTACATGTCAGTGTCGCAACCAAGGATTATTGTACATGAATGCATTTCATAATGAAATGATACTCATACTCAATGATAGCTAATCTTACGTAATACGTATGTAAAGCCAACGAACAAAAAGATTAGATTAATGGGCAGCTTAATCTAAACAGTATGTATCTCAGGTCTTTAATTATAAGCAAATTATGAAGAACAGCACCACAGGGAGACATGTATGATATGCTTGCATTATCTGCTATGAATAGTAATTTTTATATAAGAAAACTTTAGACACTGGGAACCCACCAAAAGGTGCCCGCACCCAGCCTCAGGCCTAACAAATACACCCTTACCCAGTCGATTCCATTCCGGAGATGAATGCCAACGAATGTGCGATTGGGAAAATTCTCTTCAATGAACACATCCGACTCTTTGTCGAATTTCTTCGACCACTGCAAATAGCGGTGAAGGTGCCTGTTCTCCTCAGTAACGGGGAATGATGCAGGAGCACCGGTGAATGCCAGCACCGGATGCGTCGCTGCCGGAAACCTAGAGATGAGAAGCGGAAGCCAACTTTATTCAACAATCGCAACAGTTCTTCTGCCTAAATGCCTATTGGAATCTGATACTACCACTGCCTCCATTACTACTATGGACTCTCTTACCACTCCACAAACCCTGGTAGTTATTATATACCATCTGTAGGATACAATTATTACAGACTCCATTCACATAACACGGCAGTTTGTGTTGCCCCTTTCCCAGTCTTGAACAACGTGGCACACCCATTTTTGTAAGCAAGTTGACAGGTTAGTTATGCATTTACTTCTCCTGCCATGCATCAAGGATATGTACATCTTGAGTGTTGAAGAAGAGTGGTTGGTGGAACTCGGATGAGACAAAGTTGATGCCAAAGTTGTCCCAGAATGGTCCGAACGGGTTGCCATCCTTCGCATTGCAATCATTGTCGATCATGTCGTCATTGAACTTGCGTGCCATGTAGCACAATGCTGTGAGTAAAAAGTTTTGTGTAAATAACATTTTGTGTAACCTGTCAGTGTATGCTTAGAAGTTATGAAGAAGTCAATCCAATTATCTGTGTAAGGTTATTAACAAAAATAGAGATATATTACTTGCTGACCAACTTGTGTTCTGATTTCAAATGGATTTGAGGCCATGAATCTCTCACTCACCAGATTTCAACAGCAGATATTTTTACCACATTTATTACTGGGACTTGCATGCAACTAGGATCGTATTTTTCAATCTAGATAATAAAGATAAACTCAAGCCTAGAAAAAAAAACTTGATTTATTTTGCTCAACTTACACTTTCTCTGGCCTACTGGCCACACTCGTGCTGCAAATAGCTTCATGAATTTCTCCATGGTTATAACTCTGTGGTATTCCTGTAATGCTTCCACTTTAAAGTATGTGTCAAATGGAACCATTTCTACCTGTATCAAATACCCAACAAGTGAATGCCCCCAACTAGACAATTTACTATTTATTAAACAAAAATACACGTTTCTCACGTGCTCTTAACAATGTGTTTTCACGTGGCATATGAATGCATTATGTCACAAATTGTACATGTGATGTTATTCAATGTAATTTGCAGGCAATCATTATGTCAGTAATAACTATTTATCAAAAATTCTTAATTACTATTAGTACTATTAGTGAATACCTTTCACTAAACGTTCTCAATTATTCTTGTTCCTAGAAAATTTCATTATTTGGGATAAGTGCAAAAGATTCAGTCTGTTGATGAATGTTTTGTATCAATACATTTATTGTTTCGCAGCTATAGGTAAGTTTGATACTAAGGCAGAGAATGAGTAAAACATCACTCGTCAAAATGACATATATATCATGAGACAAAAAGTAAATAGGCAATAAGATAACTACAACTACGAATACATACTCTAGAGCTTCTATCGTGGTGATACTCTATCCAAGGTGGAAGAATTAATGTTCTGTCTAACCCATGTGCAAACGCTAGTGATCCTAGAAAGTGGTCTGCCTGATTTCCAAAGCGACCTGTAAAAAAGAACATTATATATTGATTCAAGTTTTAATAGTAATAGCTGCGCCCCAGCCGGCATCGCGCGCATCCTCACGCCGCGACGCGCCGAGCCCCGGCTTAATAAAATCACATTTATTATAAACAGTATTTAATAATTTTGATCTGTTTCCACTTGTTTGTGCCAGAAAATTTTCATTCTTTATATCAAGATTTCGTTATATCTGTGCTCGTTATAACAGGTTTTGCATGTAATTCATATACATGTATCTCTATGTAGAATAGTGTGAAAAAAAATCAACATTTTTCTTCGTACACTTTTAGGGGGGAATGGGGGGGGGGGTTCGAAAAAGTGTATGGTTTGTACGCTTGTGAAAATGTTGATAATTGTGAACGACCCCTAACATGCTTTGCTTTACTGCTATATAGGAGATAAAGTCATCCTGTCGAGTAAGCTGATCATGGGAACGTCTTCTTTAATGATTCTTTGAATGAACATATGGGTGACTCTGTTGGAACTCACAACCTGACAGGTCGGGTCACCTTCTGGTTGGATATGTAGGATGGGTTCCTGGTAGTTTTTTATGAGAGAAAACATAAAGAACAAGTCCATATTATAATGGCACTGCATGTTGTAGCTGACTACTAGGAAATGGATCAAGAGTTTAGTCTAGGTGTTATTCAACACTTGGTCATACTATCCAAACTAACAAGCTCTTTTGCTGTAGTCATTGCTCCGCTACATGATGGCAAGTGACGAAAAGCTACTTGAAATATGCTACACAGAGGGTACATGGTAATTGCGCGGAACGAGGGTTTCACTTTCATGTCCTCAGTCAGTCAGTGTTGTTTTACGTTTTGCTTTCAATGGAACGTAAATTACTAAAGAACGGCTGTTTACTGCAGTATAGTCTCTAGGTAGTAGCATAAGTTGTGATACTGATAATTAGCATTTGGTGACCTGTCACTGTCAGTGTCAGTGACAGTGTCACACGTCATTGACATTGTCACCTGACTCAGTGTTGCTGATAAGGTCTATGTCCCCCAGGGTACTATCAAAGGGTACCCTGGGTACGAATCGATATATCGGAAAGTACCTCGGGGTATTATACGATATGTTGCTGCGTACCCTGCATTGTCCCATCGTACCCTGACTTGTAACCGATGTATTTCCGATGTTGTAAAACTAAATTATAAAAGCTAGCTCTTCGTTTAAAAAAAAGGAAAAAGAAAAATATAGTCAAACATAGCATACATTTTTATTGGATTGCAATGTTTTGAGGTTTCTTCTATGTGATGTGGTAACTTGACAGAGTGTATGTATTACGACATCAGTTGGCTGAAAGTCAGGGTACGGTGGGACAATGCAGGGTATGCAGCGACATATCATATAGTACCCTGAGGTACTTTCCGATATATCGAACCGTAACCAGGGTACCCTCCGATAGTACCCTGGGGAACATAGACCCTATCACTATCACTCAGTGTTAGCTCTAATACTATAGCCCGCGTTCAGTAACGGCCTGCGGCAGTTACTGAACGCAGGCTATAGTACTAGAGCTGGTGTCCGGTCCACTCGTACCGAGTTGGCAGTTGTGTAAAGTATGGTTTGCAGATGGTAAAATAGTAGTTGTGTTTAGAATTGTCGCGACAAGGGGTTGCATAATGTGTTGGTCGGCGGTAGCGTGGTTGTTGTAGTATGGATGATGGAGATGCGAAACGGTTGAGAGGGAGTTGTTGTACATGTGGGCAGCATATGTCGGTTGTCTGGGCGCGAGCCGACGTTCTTTGTTATCTAGAAATGTATAAAGGGGAAGGTTCTTGGTTGTGAGGGAGATCGGACGGGAGTGCGCGAGGCACGCGTCTGCGTGCCTCTGTGCGAGCGTATGTGGTTTGAGAAACAATATACTATTTTGCTGAACACTACTGCTTGGAGTTTGGAGTTTCATTATTCATCGCTACAACAGATCTACATTTAAACGGGTAACGTCATCTTCGTCGTTACATTTTGGCGCCGTCGACAGTTAGAACCGGGTTTGCGGACATAACGCAAGATGCTACAAACGATTCACGAGCCACGGAGCCACGGAAGAAAACTGGAGAAGGAAGAAGAAGATTGGAGCGAGTTAAAAGGAGAGCGGACGAGAGAGCAAGAGAGACAGAAGAAGAGAGAGAGGGAGAGACGGAAGGAAAGAAGGCAATGCCGAGACGCCGGAGCAGACAGAGCAACGGAAGCCGAGAGAAGAAGCTGGAAGAAAGAAGAGGAAGATATATAATGCCGTGGTAAGTGTTGCAATTTTCCTAGTATACATTTCGCTGTGCTCACGCTGTTTACTGTCGCCTGACTGCTAAGTATACTGACGATATTGCCTGTGCGGACGGTTTGTGCCACAATAGAGCGTTATAGGGTGCATAGAGTCTAGAGAGCGTTACACGGGCTAGGATAGATAGCCGTGGCACGCGTGTGATAAAGGGCGAAGAGGGCCCTACGCGAACGTATCATGCGTCACGTTTAACGCATGGAAACGAGGTTAGAATACGCGGCTAAAGTTATGTCTCTGTAAAGACAAGTCGCGTATACACGGTCCGAGAGAAGGACTACGGGGATTTTTGTCACAGCCTATACGCTGGGAATCCTCCACATAACGTGTCAGGGAACACGGAATATCGATACGCTAGAAGTGTAAGCACCCTAAGATACTGTACTGTAATGTACCGTAAGATAAGAAGGCACAGTAGATAACCGTATGATATAATATAGTTACGCACAGGTGTATAGTGTATACTATGGAGGGCTGGCGACGCGGTAATGGCAAGCACAGATGATATTGGTTTGGGAAAGGTGTGACGCTGAATACGGCAGAGTATATTTAGTCAAGAACACGGCATATATAATGCTACTTGCGGAAACGGAAATACTTAAAATAGGTATGTGAATCAATCTTGTGTCGGCATTTCTTTCGTAATTTTAAGGGGAAGGTTCTTGGTTGTGAGGGAGATCGGACGGGAGTGCGCGAGCACGCGTCTGCGTGCCTCTGTGCGAGCGTATGTGGTTTGAGAAACAATATACCTATT